TTCTTAATATTGAATTCAAATATTTGATTATATACAACTGCCTGTTTTAAATATCATCTCAATATTAGCAATACACAGAACAAAAAGTGTACAAAAATGGTGAAATTATTTACCTGGTATAATACTTCCCAGTTATTTTGTCTAAAATGTATATGGTGAAAATTTACTTAAAAATATAATAATCTAATAATCACTTTGCCAAAACATCAAAAATTGGAATTCTCTTTCAAGTGATGGATAGGGTAGAATATTTACAATAACCAGTTCTGCAGGCAAAAATAATAGAAATATGGTTATGCTTAAACTGCAAAAGATTTTCTTTTCTATAAAATAGACATTTAATGACATTCTGAAACAGGCAAATGATGTCAAAGATATTGTCCAATAGAAATGCCATTATATGTTTTAAAGTTTTAAACTTTCTAAGTAAGCAAAATATATAATTATTCAGAAATAAAATTGTTATAATATTGCCATTGTTTCCCCCACAAATATGCATTATTCACTCTAAAATATAGCTTTTTAAATGCCAAAATTTTTTAATGTCTAGCTTAAGTTTATAATGTTAAGGCAAATAAATTGTAGCTTACTAGCCAATTTCATAATTTTACTCCATGTTATAGCCCTAAAAACAAAATTTAAAAACTATTACAGCTTGCCTGTTAGAAGGAAAAGTCTCTTCCATGGTAGGTTTTTGTTGGTGTCTGTGTATGTGTGCACATGCACGCATGTATATTTTAAGAAAATCATATTATCGGACTCCATTGTGATGATGATTTAGTAGACACCTAGCTAGACACCTACCATACATTCTTGCGTTGTGCTAATAAGTGTGTTAATTGGGAAACTATTTTTAACCTAAAATATACAAAATCTTAGGAATGATCATCCAAGACATATTTTGAGTAGTTAAATAACCAGGATTTTGCATCTTATAAAGAAAATATAAAAGAAGCACTGTGTCACAGAGAAATAACAAAGTCATATAAATTCAAAAGTAAACTTGCTAAGACAAATTTTAAATAAATGAAATAAACACTGAAAACAAAAACATTCAGGGCAGGAGATAAAGAGAGAGGGGGGTGGGGAGGGAGGACCACACTTCAAAAACCGCAGCTATTAGTAAACATTTAGAATAAACTTTGTTTCATTCTCCTAGCATTTTTTCCCTTATGCCTCAAATTCCTCTACAAAATCCTGTCTTTGGTACTAGTCTTTATTCCTTCCCAGCTGCAAAGATGATATACTTTCAAGTTACTTCTCCAACTTGAAAATGTCATTGATCAAATGATTTCGTAACTATTTAAAACCAACCACAAATACATCAAGTGTCTCATTTCTACATGGCACTTCCATTCTTGAGTATCAGAAAGTGAGTTATATTTTGAACCACATTTCACTTTGATGAGGAAATTTAGGTCCAATTGGCAGTCTATTTGCTACCCTAAAAAGACAAAACTCTCCCTCTCCGTGCTGGCTGGAACTCCACTTCAAAGCCGGTCTGTCACAAGGTTTCTTCAGTCTCCCAGGCCTCTCTTGTTGAGATGTCTGACAACAGCAAATCCCAACTCGGGATGGGGAGGGGGTGGAGACAGGCGCCTCCTTCAGAATTGTTTTTTTTTTTTTTTTTTGCCAAATGTTTTTGTTCGTGAGATTAACACCTCAGAGATGTTCAGTTTCATTAAAAAAAAAAGTCAGGAAACCCTACTGAATCTTTTTGCCTAGAAATATTTTCATTATTTGCCACAGCCTATATTTTTTAATTAACTTTTTCATGTTCAGTATGATGTGTGAAACTACAAAAAAGGAAAAGTACCAAATCATATAAAACATACTATTCCTGGCATACAAAATAGACTCAAGATGTAAAGACAAACCCGAGAGAACAGGTGAACACCAAGCTCAGGGTGGAATCTCTTTGCCCTGTGAGAGCATTTGCCTTTTATTTTTTTTTTAAGCCCTGAGTACCAGCATTGTTTTGGATAGAAAGAACAAGAAAACATTATCTAGAAACAAATTTCCTTTGAAATCCAATGTAATCAACAGTATTTAACAATGAATCAGCTACAAATTTCCATTGCAATGTAAGAAGAAAATATTCTGATGAAATGAATTTGATAGAAAGTGTCAATGGAATATTACTATTTTATGTCTTTGAATGTACATATCTTTAAAAAATCATCTTTGCACATTCAAATAGTGTTTCTAGCATGACAGTATGTTAATGTCTAGAATGAGACACAAATAATTGACAGGATATGTTGAAGACTGTAAATTTTTCTTCCCACAACCTCCTCTGAAGGAGTACTATTTGGTTGATTATGTTTCTAAACAATCAGAAAGTAACTCTCTGTAGACATTCTTCAGATGTGACAAAGTGCTTTGTTACTTAAAGATGGCAGTTTTCCAGATATATATTCACATACATGACAAAGCAACAATGAATAATATAACCACCTGTAAATTGCTACATTGAAGTTCTGTAAGTAAAATAAGAGATTAAATAAATGGATAGCTTGAAAACATATTTATTTGGAAAAACTGTTAATACCTTTCCAATCTGGACAACTAATCAACATGGACATTATAATAATGGTTTCATTTTTTAAATTATGTTTAGACCTGAGAAATAAAATATGATTGCTCATAAGTGACTTTTATATCTACATATGTTGTAAGACTATTTTTTACTTACCTTATTGTCTTCTATGGAAGTTTAAAATGACTTTCCATTTTTAAGCCAATAAATATAATACAATTTAAATTAAACCAAAAATCTGAATGCTAAATTGGAGTTTTCAGAAGGATCCCAGCAAGTAATTAAATGTGTACTAAAAGGCTTCTTTGTGTACCATTAACTTAGGTAAAAATAAGTAGGCAATCCAGTGCAGGTAAGGAGGAAGACCTAGCCCAAGTATTTAAAGACCTGCAAAAGTAGCATCATGTTAAAGTTGCAACAATCATACACTTGTTAAGTCATTAACTGATGTTTGTAAACAAGTTCATTTTACCTTATTATATTCTTAGTACATATTTTGAATATTACTAGTAATACTCCTCTATTTGTCACTTTCTTCCTATAGATGACCACATGGATTTTTCTCCCTGTGAAGGGCAGATTCTTTGCAAAACTACACTAAAATGATCAAAACAACAATTCAAACAATAAGACAAAGCCAGGAGTGACGTTCTAATCACAGGCCTGCGGCCAAACAGAAAAAAAAACAGTTTTCATCTTGGAGACTTAGTGCAACTGTCTGGTTAAACTTTAGTAGTTTCCCTCCCCCACCCCTTTTTCTCCCTCCCTCCCTCCTTCCCTTCCTCCCTCCCTTCCTTCCTTCCTTCCTTCCCTCCTTCCTTCCCTCTTCCTACTTTCCTTCCTTCCTACTTTCCTTCCTTCCTCCCTCCTTCCCTCCCTCCCTTCTCTGTTCTTTCTTCCATTCTTTCTCTTTTCCTTTCCTTTCTTTTTTTCTACAGTAAACTCTTGCTTAAAAAGCATTGTTTTGCTTCTTCTATTCCAGTTTCCAGGAAAACTTAAAATTGAATCTTCATTTATCTTTTTATCATCATTTTTATTTGTGTCTTCATTTCCCTTTCATCATGATGTTTCTTAATTGTAAGACTTATCAAATTTCAGTGAATATGCTCTCACACTCCTTTTGTTTTAGCTTTGGTCTTGTTGAGGATTTGATCATTTCTAACTTCTTTGCTTTGCAGATATATTTACAAATCATAAGACAAGACAGTTTTTTGAGAGAAGCTACTGCTTTCACTTAATTTTTCTACATTTCTTTTCATATTCTTTAATACGTTCTTTTTCCAAACATAACAAAAAGACGCATTGCAATATTTGAAATTCGAGTTTAGTCTCTCTCTCTCTCTTCCTCTCTCTCTCTCTCTCTCTCTCTCTCGATGAGGGGGGATTGTGATAGGAAAATGTATCTTAAGTCAGATATGAGGGGAGTCAGAAACAAAGGAAAAGAGAGTAAAGAACTTTACAAATGCAAATAGAACACGAAACATTTTAGCAAATAAAAGTTTACCTTCTTTCTCTCTTGTTCAACTTCCATCCCCTCCGAGTAAAAACAAAATACAAGTTAGCATCTATGCATTTGCCAGTGTCTCTCTGTGTTTTCTCTCTTCTTTGGATTTGGATACTTTGAGCTAATTTGGAAGTATCCGTTTGGTTGCCCACAAAATGATACTTAAGGATCTAAAGATGCATAAATTAGAGAGCCCTACAATGGCAGAGAACGGTCATTGTACCTCTTCTCTTTATGCACTCTTACGGTGGAACCCAAGAGCTTTTTTTTTTTTCTTTTTAATTTTAATTTAACACTTTAGATGAAGGAGCCAGTGAGGGGTTGGTAGCTGGAAAGGATGCAGCCAGCCCTGAAAACCACCCCCTCCCAAACTTAACTGCGCGTCTCTCCCCGCCACACACACACACACACACACACACACACACACACACACACACACACACACACACAATTATACCGGACTTCGCCACGGAGTCACTTTAGGAAAACTCGGGTGTGGCAAGAGACAAGTGTGGCGGCTCACGTCCAGCCTCGACGCCAATCCCCGAGTTTCTATTTCTGGTGCTCGAGGGGCCAGGGTAACCGGCGCGGGTAGAGGCGCGAAGGATGGAGAAAGTAAAGGGGGGTGATCTTTTCAAGAAACACCCAACTGCCCCCTTTACCTTTCTCGCCTCCATTACGGGGCGAGGGGGGGGGGCGAGAAAAAGATGTCAATGACCATTGTTTGCTCGTTTGGGATGTTGCTCCGCCCCCCGAGTCTGTCGTAAACCTGGCGCTGGACTAAAATAAACCCCAGATCCCCGCAGCTCCGGGCGCTCGCCGCGCCACCGACTGCTCTCCACAGGCGCTGCCCGCCGCCCGCCGCCCGCCCGCGGCCGAGGTGGCGGCCACCACCGGCCGCCGCGTCCCTCCCGCGCCCGCCCCCACCCCGGGCCCCCCTACCTGGCGGTCCGCCGAGCCATGTCGTTGAGCCCCAAGCACACGACGCCCTTCTCCGTATCCGACATCCTGAGCCCCATCGAGGAGACCTACAAGAAGTTCGGCGGCGCCATGGACGGCGCGCCGCCCGGCTTGGGGGCGCCCCTGGGGGCCGCCGCCGCCTACCGCGCGCCGCCGCCCGGCCCCTCCTCGCAGGCGGCGGCGGTGGCGGGCATGCAGTCGCCCCACGCCATGACCGGGCACAACGCGGCGGCGGCGGCCGCGGCGGCGGCGGCGGCGGCGGCGGCCGCCGCCACTTACCACATGCCCCCGGGCGTCTCGCAGTTCCCGCATGGCGCCATGGGCGGCTACTGCAACGGCGGCTTGGGCAACATGGGCGAGCTGCCCGCCTATGCGGAAGGCATGCGGGGCGGCGCGGCGGCTGCAGCCACCGGCTGGTACGGCGCCAACCCGGACCCGCGCTACTCGTCAAGTGAGCGGGGCGAGGAGCGCGGGCACTGCGGGCAGGCGGGCGGCCGCGGGTATGGCCCGCCACCACCCTGGCGCCAGCGTCCTGGCGTTCGCGCTCTGGGCGCGCCGGGGCAAGGGGCCCTGGGTTCCCGGGGCCACGCGCGCTCGAGGATCCTGGGCCGCCGCGACGTGGGATCCAAGGTGTCCTGGGTCACGGCCCTGGGGCGTCCTGGGCCTCCGCGTGGGGCGCGCAGGGAGTGTGGGGACCCGGACTTGGGCGCGCAGGGCTTTCAGAGACCCGGCTTGGGGCCCCCAACGGGTGTCTTTAGGTCCCGGAGTGGGACGCACGAGCTGTGTCCCCGGGGCCCAACCTGGAGAAGCCTGAGGTGTCCCGGGTCCCACAACCCGGGGCGCGCAGGGGTGACTGTCGGGCCTCTTGGCTCCCTAAGGGTGCTGGGGACCCGGGTCGTGGAGAGCTAAGGGGGAATCCTCGGACTGTCGAGCGGGAAAAGCGGGGAAGCTCGCGCCGTCGCGGCTGCTGCGTTTTCAAGAAAAGGGGACGGCGGCGGGAAGGGGACCGGCGGGCCTGAAGCTCACCGCCATGTTCTTGGCCTTCCCACCCCACCCCACCCCACCCCCAGTCTCCAGGTTTATGGGGCCGTCGGCGGGTGTGAATGTGGCCGGCATGGGGTCGCTGACGGGCATCGCGGACGCCGCCAAATCGTTGGCCCCGCTGCACGCGGCAGCACCGCGCAGGAAGCGCCGGGTGCTTTTCTCGCAAGCGCAGGTCTACGAGCTGGAGCGGCGCTTCAAGCAGCAGAAGTACCTGTCGGCGCCCGAGCGCGAGCACCTGGCCAGCATGATCCACCTGACGCCCACCCAGGTCAAGATCTGGTTCCAGAACCACCGCTACAAGATGAAGAGGCAGGCCAAGGACAAGGCGGCGCAGCAGCTGCAGCAGGAGGGCGGCCTGGGTCCGCCGCCACCGCCACCTCCCTCGCCGCGCCGCGTGGCCGTGCCCGTGTTGGTGAAGGACGGCAAACCGTGCCAAAATGGTGCTGGCACGCCCACTCCCGGCCAGGCTGGCCAGCAACCGCAGGCCCCGACACCAGCGCCCGAGCTAGAGGAGCTGTCGCCCAGCCCGCCCGCGCTGCACGGGCCCGGGGGCGGCTTGGCGGCCCTGGACGCAGCGGCGGGAGACTATGGTGGAGGTGTGCTGGGCACCAACCTGCTGTATGGCAGGACGTGGTGACAGCGCGGGATCCCCGAAAGGGTCCCGCCTGCAGCCCTGAGGGTCTGCAAGAAACTGCTAGAACCAGTGGGGGAAATGTGTGGAGTCCATGGATATTTAAAAAAAAAAAAAAAAAGGACGAGTCGTTCACAGGGACAGGAACTTCTTTTCTGGGAGTGGGGGACAGACAGACCAGAACTGAATAATGTAACATCACACTTGGTGGAAGTGATTTTTCCCCCCTTCCAGAAGTTTCTAAATTATTGGAAAAGCTGACCAAGTCCACTATGTTCCTGACCAGAGTTCCCAGAGTTCGAAAAGTTGGAAACTTTCTTAGTGTTAAAAATCACTCCAGCTTTAAGAAGGAATCCTTGTCCAAGTGGTATTTATCTTGGGAGATTAATTTTCAAAGGGTCTCCCTAAGTGCAATTTCATTAATGTTTGATTGAAAGTAAATTGAATTGTAGCTCAAGGTGGAGCATACCCACAGAGACATTCTTGCAGGGGAGTTATTGCAATTAGGTAAAATAGAGCTATGGAATAAAAGGGATCAAAATATTGCTTATATGGGTTGAAACAGCTTTTTAAATTCCATGCTATTTCAGAATATCTTGAACTTTTGCGTACAATCCCAGAAGAGCCTTCACCTTTCCCCAAGATGCAGCTCACCATAAGAAAGAACGGTTGTGAACTACTTTTTCTATGGAGTTTGGCCTCTCCAGTTGAGCTGATAAAACAACAACAACAACAACCTTATCCAGTAGTCAAGGCATTTACACTCTGTAGGATTTTTTTTTTTTTTGGTCTGAATTTGAATACTTTGATAAAGTACCAGAATGAGCAAGTAATTGCTAAAAGAATTAGAAAAAATAGTAGGGTGGTCCATTGAATTGTAGTGAAGATATAAAGAAAAAGTAACATATTTATAATTTTTCCAACACATTTAGGACTTAATAGGACTTGCACCGATTTTGTTGGTGTTTTATTGTATAAATTATGTATTTACTGTTTAATATGCAATTTATATTTCCAGTGTTTCAAATGAATATTTAAATATAACTTAAAAGAACCTTGAGTACTTTTTCCAAAAAAAAAAAAAAAAGTCAAGTGGTCATTTCTTTTTCATTAATTATATTAGGGAAGGGATTAAAAAAATTAAAACTAGTTGGCATGATGTTACAACCCCAGCTTACTTATCTTTTAAACAACTTGTTTTGGAGGAAAAATGCTAGGAAACAACGGAATAAGGGCAATTTGTAAGATAAATAAAAGTTAAAGGAGTAATATGGGTAAAGCATGTTTTACGGATGATTAAAACACATAGTTGCCAGAGACCCCAAACCTTTTCCACATTTGAAGCTTTAGAAAACTGATTGTGACTGAAATATTTTATCTTACTGTTTAAACATTTTTCTGAGTGTACAAAGTGAATCCATAGGAAGATATAAACGTTAAATTTGCACTCTCTCCAAACTGTATTTTATAAAGTGAATTCTTTAGGTTTGGGTTTTTTCTGCTTCTTATTTTGTTTTAAATAACTGCAGCTCCTTTGTGGAGGAAGAGATCCTCCTTATTTAGGGGCTCTGGATGCACTTTTGGAAAATGAGGTTTTATCAAAAAAAATTACATTAGAAGAAATTTCAGCAAATTAATATAAAGATAGTGCAGTAAACCTAAAGAAAAGTGTCCCAGCTTGGGTTTTTGCATAATAATAGATTAACTTTAGAAACAAAGGTTAACCAAATAGTCAAAACTGTAACTGATGAGTTAGAGTTCAAAGTGCTTTTTTAGTTTTATATGATTTTAAAATTACTTTCTGAAAATCTGTCCTAAAAATCCACATGGTTTTCCATAATTACTTTTATAGTCCAATACCTACAAAAGCAATAATAGTTTATGGTTCAAGGACACCCAGAAATTAAATTTAAAGGAAAATAAATCTTCATGGGCACTTTTTTCGCCTTGATAGTTTATTTAGACTAATGAACTCTGTCAAAAATAATGTCATTATTAAGAAGAAACAATTTTGTATTCAGTATTTTCTGACAGTGTATTTAGGGTAGCCATACCTTTTCCATTCAGTCTTTGAAAAGCAGTAAAAGACCTAAGCCAGAAGTAATTGGTGCAAAGGGCTACACCCAGAGATTTACTGAGTTTATACTCCTACTCCAGGACTTAGGAAAAGGTCTGATTCCTGAAAATTTAAAGAATGTTTTTACTATAGAATTCCATCTTCTGATTAATGCAAAGCAAGAACTTTTTTTTTCTTTTGTAATTAGTACTTTGCAGATCCTTTATAAAAACACAAACGGCCAGACTAGGTGAAACTCATTAACTGAAGAGCAGGATAAGTGTCTTCACAACCAAGAGGGAGAACTGGCGCTGGGTCTGAGTGGAACAAAGCCCCCTTCAGAGTTTTGTAGAGGCCACAGCAAACCATGGTTCCAGAAATGCTAACTCTGCAGATATAACATTTGCCTACACGGTTTCGGGTCTAACTAGCCATCATTTCCAATTGAGGCAGACACCAAAATGCAGAATGAAAACTGTAGAGGGGGACGGCAGATTGCAGGTACTTTGCTGCATTGGGATGTAAATGTGTGCAATTTTGAAGAACATAAGGAGAGTGTTTTCTGTATGAAGGGGGTGAGGGTGTCTTCTATTTAAGATTTTGCTTAGAAACACAACCTAAAGGTCAGAACAAGTAGTCAATCAGACTTCTATCCACACAGATGTTGTGTTCAGACTCCATTCGGTTGGCAATTGTTTGCTTTCAATTTAAAGCAAACTGGAGGCTCAATCCTGTTCACTAAATTGCAAGCACCTTCCGCAGACTTGCTTTGTTAACTGCATTGAATAGTGACAGTTTAGCAAAACTTTTAAAATAAATTTGTGAACCATAATTATGTAAAGATGTATGGATTGGATTTTTAGATATGAGTCTGTGCATATGAGAAAACAATGCAAAGTTGATTATATATTTGATAAAATATAAGTAGCTTGTTACTGCTGGTGAGAATTTCTGGTGAAATTTAAAAGAAGATGGGAGAAGGAAAACCACACCACACCTTGTCAGAAGCCCCGCTCTCTCCAGTAAGTATTGTGATCCCTTTGGTTTTCAAGATCACTTGTATTATGTCTAAGTTTAGACACAGAAAGTTTCAGGGAGTTTTAATTTTTTTGTTTTTTGTTGGGTTGTGCTTTAGAATGTTTACCTGAAGTTGAATGCAGTGCTTTAAAAAGAATTAGTATAACCTCAACTTCTGTTATTGTTTAGGTGACTGACTCATAATAAAATTTTAATCACCAACTGCCTACATTTAGGTTGTGCACACTGATTTTGCAATAGTGAACAACTCTGGTCCCATTTCACTCTGTTTTCTCTTGATTCGCACCCCACAGAGTAGGGGGAAACAAGCCATCAGAGTATTGGACCTAACTCCGAATGAAGAAAACTTCCTCAGAAAATGGGCCATCTCTTATATCGTTCGTTCATTTTTTCTTTTTCCTGGTTAGAAATAGAACTCCATCATCAGGAATGGATTCTGTCCGGATTCAGTTCTCTGACTCTTTTGGGTGCATTCAAGTTGCGGGTTAAATGGGACAATACTGAACGGCTACAGTGCGGTCTAGGAGAGGATGGATGATACATTAACGTTCAGGGAATGTCTGTATTTTACATTTCTGAGCATAGCTATATTTAATTGATCTCAGATCTCGAACTTAAAATAGCTGGAGGGGGAAAAAGAAAAAAAAAAGGAAAGGGACAATTTCCGATGTTTTCTTACAGGTTTGAAGCTTGCACTTGGACAGATGATGAAACTGGGCTGGCCGTGGTGCTGAGGCCGACGCGGGAGGCTGGGCGCCAGGGAGGATGCCACCATACCACCCCGAGGGTGGAGGGCTGACCTTCCCCCTCCTCCACCCCTGCCCCCCGCCCCCCCCCCCCCCCCCCCGCCCACCTTGCTGTCTGCCGCCAGCAGCTCGCTGAGCACGCTGAGCAGCCGAGCCATCGGCGGGGTTGGCGCGCGAGGCACTGGGAGCAGTGACTGGGACTAGGGAGGCGCCGCAAGTGCACCGCCGGCCACGCTGTCCGACCCTGTCGGGAGGGTATGGGAGACCAGCTACTTATTGTGGCTTTGATTCCTTGCAGAGCAGCTCACCGGGCCCAGCAGCAGCACCAGCCGCCCGCTTCTGGGCACAGCGTCTGGCTGTGAAGTCCCTGCACCCCCGCCCCGACCTCCTTTCTGCTCAGCCCAGGCACATCGATCGCCATTCAACTCGAGGGAAGGGGATAAAAAGAGCTAGTGTAGGACCCCCAGCCCCACCTCGGTCTGTTCCTGGAGTCTACCGTCATCGCAGGAAAATTAACCTATCGGTCATTACACCCCATTTGCCTTTGTAACGCTAAATGGCAATCTGATGGCAGTGCAGAAGGCTTTGTACTTTAACATACATTACCCCATTTGATCTACACAGAGAAGACAGCTGCTCATTACGAGTCCCTAGCGCCACAGTAGTCAGGCTGTTACCAGGTTCTAAGATTTTTTTTTAAAAACCTTCATGAAATTGAAAAAAAAAAAAGTGCCCTGTTTATAGATAATATAATGGAGTGCAATTAGCTACTTTAAAAATGGCCTGCTGACTTTGACATTACAATTTTGAAGAGACATTTATAGCTGTAAATATTATACTTTAAAGCACAGAAAAGCCTTTATTTGAAACAGGGCTTTTGTGTGTTTGTGTATAAGACTCTACATAGAGACAAGTTGAAGGAAATGGGGGAAGAATGAGAAGGGGATCATTCTCCTGTTCTTAAGAAGGAATCTTCTGTCATCTTTTGCTTGAGGTCATCTTCAAACTCAGTTTCCTATGTTCCATTAAAAATGGAACTAGGTCATGTATGTGAAGGCTTCCAACTAAAGGCTGAGAAAATAGGGTAGAAGTGTGGATTTGAGGTTCCTATGAAGCTATACAGACATTTAGGAGGTGTGGAAAATGGAATACTTTGTTTAGATGGA